GGGAGAGGGAGAAGCAGGCTTCCCGCCGAGCAGGGAGCCCGATGCGGGGCTCGATCCCAGGACCCTGGATCATGACCTGAGCCGAAGGCAGACGCTTAACGACTGAGCCACCCAGGCACCCGTATATGGGTTTTTAGTCTTAGCAATTCAAGTGCTATTTTGTAAGTCTGCAGAACATTAATGTTACATGTGAAAAATAATGAACATCAGCTTCTGTTTTTAAATTTAATATTCTTTTAAATAATTCTTTTGTCTTTGAACTTATTTCTTCTTTTTGTAAATGACAAGTAAATTTTAATAGTTCCTTTGCTTTATTAGCCAGTACATCTTTGCAATTAAAACAGGTGTGGCTTTAGCAATTCACAATCAATAATGGCTATAAGATACAACACATAAGGAATCATAGTTCCAAGTAAAATGAACATGAACTCTTTTTGCCTTCATTTCTTTGCAGTTATTTCCATTATCATCATTGGGTTAACCACTATAGCTACCTTCAGAAAGCTCTGTTTTTCTTGACAAGACAGTCCACTGAAACTTGTTTTGCCATCATTAAATTAAGGTGAAAAATGAATAATACAAAATTCATTTCAATAAGTTGCCTAATCTTAAATTATAAATTAAAAAACAGGCTTTCAAAGAAGTAACAGTCTTTAAATTCAGTGAGATTTCATTTCTTTAATGTTTCCTCTTATGGATCATGCTTTTGGTTTCAAGTCTAAGAACTCCTCGCCTAGCCTAGGTCCCAAATAATTTTTGCTATATTGTTTTCTAAACATTCTGTGTTTTAAAATGTTTTATATTTAAGTCCATAATCCATTTTGAGTTAATTTTTGTATAAGGTATGAAGTTTAAATCAAGGTTACTTTTCCTTTATTTTTATTTTTTGCCTATAGATGTCTAATTTTCTAGCACCATTTGTTGAAAAGCTATCCTTCCTCCACCAAATTGCTTTGCACCTTTGTCAAAAATCACTGGGCATGTTTGTATGGGCCATTTTCTGGTTCTGTATTCTGTTCCATTGATCTGTGTGTCTATCCTTCTGCCAGTACCACTCTATAGATTCCTGTATCTGTATATAACATCAGGAAGAGTGATTCCTTTATTCTTTTGCAAAATTGTTTTAACTCTTACAGGGTCTGTGCTTTCCCACATAAATTTTAGAATTAGCTTGTCTATGTCTACAAAAAAGCTTGCAGGGATTTCGATAGGAATTGCTTTAAATATGCAGATCAGTTTGGGGAAAACATCATGACATCTTTGCTATGTTGAATCCTCCAATCCATGAACATGGTATGTCTTTCCATTTATTTAGGCCTTCTTTAATTTCATTCATCAGCATTTTGTCATTTTCAGCATATAGATCCTATATGTGTTTTTTTAGATTTATCCTATTTCATTTTCTTTGGAGCAATTGTAAATGGTATCGTGTTTTTACTATCAGCTTCCACATGTTCATTGTTAGTATGTAGAAATATGATTGATTTTTGTGTGTTGATCTTGTATGCTGTGATTTTACTGAACTCACTTACCAGTTCTAACAGGGTTTTTTGGGGGAGGATTCTATTTTGTTCTGTTTTTAGATGCCTTGGGATTTTCTATGTAGACAATCATTCTAGTTACAAATAGGGACAGATTATCTCTTCCTTTCCAACCTGTGTGCCTCTTATTTGTTTTTCTGGCCTTGTTAAGCTACCTAGAACTTTAAGTATTGGGTTTAATATGTGTGGTGAGAGCAAACATTCTTGCCATTACTAATGTTAGGGGGAAAGCAAATTAAAATAATTCGTTTTGTAAAAGACCCTGTGAGGAGAAAGAAAAGACAAGCTAAAGACTTGGAGACACTGCAAATCACATATCCAACAAAGGTCTTACATTTATAATTATAGAAGCCATCCTCCAAACTCAGTAGTAAAGAACAAAAAACAAAAAAGCAGCCCAGTTAGAAAGTGGGTAAGAGATATGAACAGACATTTCACCAAAGAGTATAAAAGGATGACAAATTACCACATAAAAAGATGTTCAGCTTCATTAGCTTTTAGGGAAATGAAATTAAAACTATGATGAAATATCACTAGACATCTATCAGAAAGACTAATATAGAAAATAGTGACACCACCAAGTGCTGGTTTAGAGTTGAAGAAACTAGATTAATTATTTGTTGCTTGTGGGAATGTAAAATGGTATACTCATTCTAGAAAATAGTTTTACAGCTTCTCTTCTTTTCTTTTTTTTAGAGAGAGCGCACAAGTGCCGGGTGGGGGGAGGGGCACAGGGAGAGAGAGAATCTTAAACAGGCTCCACAGTCAGTGCAGTCCCCAACACAGGTCTCGATTTCATGACCCTGAGATCATGACCTAAGCCAAAATCAAGAGTCACATGCTTGACCAACTGAGCCACCCAGGTGCCCCTACAATTTCTTTAAAACAAACAGAAACAAAACTAAACTAAATTTACCATATAACTCCAGCAATAGCACTTTTGGGTGTTTGTCCCAGAGAAATGAAAACTTACGTTCACACAAAAGCCTGTATATAAATGTTCATAGTAGATCTATTCATAATAGCCAAAAACTGGAATCAACCTAGATGTCCTTCCACAAGCTGATGATTCAACAGACTGGTACATGTCCATGCCATGCAATACTACTAAGCAATAAAAAGGAATGAACTATTGATTTGCACAACAATTTGGATAGATCTCAAAGCAATTATGCTGAATGAAAAAAAAAGTCAGTCTCAAAAGGTTAGATATTATGTGATTCCATTCATATAATCCTCTTAAAGTAACAAAACAGTCGATATGGAGAACAGATGAGACTGGTTGCCAAGAGTTAGGAACTGGGTTGGATGAGTAGTTCTAATGGATAACATGAGAAAGTCTTGTGGTGGAACAGTTATGTATCTTGACTGTGGTTGCAGTTGCCTGAGTCTTCACATGTAGTAATACTGCACAAAACTACACAAACACATACACACAAACTCACAAATGATTGCCTGAAAAACTGGCAAAATCTGAATAGGCTCCATGGATCATACCAATGTCAGTTTCCGGGTTTTGATATTATACTATAATTATACAGGATGGCATAATTGGGGAGATTGGGTGAAGGGTACATAGGATGTCCATGTACATTTTTTTTGCAACTTACTGTATATCTATAATTATCCCAGTATAAAATTTTTTAATGGCTCAATTAAAATTTTAAATTATTATAAAAATGAAAAGTTATATATATAAGGGATTGGTTACATTTTCTCTGATTTTCATATATTTTGGGGTTATAGATAATAAACCTTAAAATTCCATGTATTGATGCGGTTTTGCTGAACATGACTGGTCCTCAGCTTGCACCACTTGTGGCTCTTAGGCAAGTTCAGCATCACCTGAGATGGTCTATATCCTGTTCTGCTAGTGATGCTCCTTGATGCTGCTGTCAGATTGCCAGAAGAGTTTCTAAACACTTAACTACCAGTTTCTGGACTTATCTTATTGTGGAATAGCAACAGCTCCTTGCAGACCTGCACCAGCTCAGCAACCACACTGGCTAGGCTGGTCTCCACACACAGGTGCAGACTCTGGTATCAGGCCAACTGTTGCTCGGGGTCTCCATTTGAGTTGAGAGGACTCTTTAGATGAGAAACAGCTGTGTTACTATGTGGCCAGAGAAAGTATTCTATGCTTCAGACTTTTCCAGAATTAGAGTGCTGCTTTAAGTTTTCCCTTTGGAGAACAGAAGAGTAGACACCGGGGCAAATTTGTTGTTATTTCTTTTGGAGAGCATTTCTTATTATAAATGATTGCTTCCTGCTTTTTCCTGGAAACCTTTTAAACTAAAGTCTTCCTTCTCCATTAGAGTAGGTTAAAAATAGTACATTCTCTTATTGCTGGAAATGAGACCTTTCTGGTTAAATCTTGACATCTCTTTTACTGGAAAGAATTATGGAGTACTCATTTGGCAATCAGTGGGTTTGTGTTTTCCCCCTATGTGAATAATACAAAAATCACTGTCATCCTGTTGCAGTTCAACATCAAGAATATAGTGACCCAAATGAGAGAACAGCGTTATGGCATGATTCAAACGAAGGTAAGCTCTCACTACATAAATTCTAATAAAAAGAATAATGAATATAAAGATTAATATGTATAGCATGTTACAATTTGTAAATCTTTTTTACCTATATGATGTCATTGAATTCTCACTGCTTGGGGTAGACATTAATTTTCTCTGATATTACTGATGAAGTACTTCACGTTCAGAATAATGAAGTCTGTTCTGTGAAGTCATTCATATAGTACGTGGAGGAGCCAGGTGGGAAACTGAAGTCTCCTGATGCCCAAACATATGCTTTGTCCATCCATGATGCTATGTTATTTAAGTAACGTATCTAAAGTTATTCATAGGTTTCTGGATAGAAGTTTTGGGATATTTACTTGCCACTAAATTATCGAAGTCATTGGCATGTCATAAAAAGATAGCATTGATGTTACAGATTAGTTATTAATCATTGGCAGAGGGAATCAAGAGTATGGTGGATAATGAAAACAAACAGGAACCCCTAAATCCTTAGGTTGACCTGTTTTTAGGCCAATGTTGAATGATAGGAAGCATTTTCTTTGAACTTGGGTTGCCTGAGAGACCTGAGGCTACACCTAAAAAAAAAAAAAAAGAAAGAAAGAAAAGAAAGTTTAAATGTGATGTATGCAGGGAAATATAAGGAGATTGAGATTGAGGGTCAGTTTCCCCTCTGTTCAGCTAAGCCTTGAGTTAATTAATTCTAGACCAAGCACTATATTACCATTTTTCTTCCTGATATTTAAAAAATATATGTTTTCGTAAAGAAGTTCCTGGCTAAACGTTTGCTCTTTTTAGGAACTTTCCTTTATGGTTGAAAATTACAACTATGTTTTCTGAAAGTGGATATTGGTATTCAACTACTTAACATTCTGTTGTTTTTCATATATATGTATATAGGAGCAGTATTTCTTTTGTTATAAAGTTGTGCTTGAAGTTCTTCAGAAGCTTCTGACTTTAGATTAAGAAAGACTTCTGTTGCCTCACATTTGAAATTACCAAGTGCCTTGGAGCCTCCTCATAAAGAACACGTTCCGGTTGTGCTGAAGGGCTTTGCTTACGTGTACCATGTGCTTTCTGGGTGTATCATTTGCCTTTCTTTCTGACAACTCCCTGAAGGCAGCATCATTTGGTTTGGGGTGAACAGTGTTTATCCATTCATCTTACTTCGATAATAGCAAAATACACTCCCACATTTTCCAGTGAAACAAAAGTTGCATAAAACAACTGCAGCCCATGTGGTTAAAGGGATTACAGAGCCCAATAAAGGACTTGAACTATATTCATTAAGATGCCATTTGGACAGGCAGCTAAAGGAAGCTGAGGATTTCCAGGACCTTATAAAGCCCTTACCTTATTCTGGAGAACACAGGGCTAGTAAATGCAAGATCACATCATGAGCTCTTACAGGCCTTTTCAAGACAGATACTCATCCATGTTTTTTAGCTAGAGGCTGCACTTTTAGCTCGTATTTGAATAACTCAGTTCACTAATTAGGAGAATTAACTTTCCACACAAATTGGATTCCATTTTCCTATAGTTCCATACTCTCGGGGGCCCCAGGGACCTCAGAGGACAAGCTGCCCTTCTAGAGCAGCTGCACAGGGACCTGCTGGTTGGGGAAGTATTTGTGGGTGGGCAGAGTTCCTCTGCTCCATCACATGAGCACACTGGTGAATGGTCCAAAACTAAAATAGATGTTTATATAGAAAGTCCGAGAGGAGATTTTTGCCCGGCTTGAGTTCTTTCCTATCCCACCCTAACACTTAATGTATTACTCAGTCTGCTTTGTTAAAAGCACATATTACATTTTACTTGCCTCTTACTCTTTGCCCTTTAGCTAACCAATAAACTTTGATATAAGCATTATTACATAATTCTGTGTGTCTCTTACGCCAGATATATTTCTCAAACTAAGATCTATGGTAGTTATTTTTTTCTTCAGAGTTCCATTAAATCATTTCTTTCCATTACTGCCCCACCTCTGCTGTAACATTTAGAAGTTGGCTTTGGGAACTAGGTTTTGGAAAACCAAAGTCATAGTTGTGAAAATGAAAACTTCCATATTCTCTTTTTGAAAAGATGTGGCCATTATTATATCCATCTTATTATAGGACTTTGCCTCATACAATTACAGTGATATTTGGTCAAGGAATTTTAGTGACCAGTTATACCTGATTATAAGCTATATAGCAATTGCTACATGTCTTTGTACAGTGTAATTCAGTGGAGATCAGAATATTCTATGTATCATATTGAGAAAATTTCTAATATTAATGTAAATCTTGAATTTATAAGAGGCTTATTTTATTCCCTTGGCTGAATGAATATTTGAATTTGTTGAATTAAACTTGATAATTTTATCCCAGAAATGTATTTTATATTAAATCAAATTGATGATTCTACCTATTTACATTGTTCATATAAATAATAGTCTATGCTAAACATTAATTTCATTTTGATGATTGGCCTTTAATATCTGTATCCCTAATTTTATTTTCTCTCCGTTATTGTAAAATAATAAATATAATGTACAACAGTATTCCTGAGAAGGTTCTATGCTGTTATTTAAATGAAAAGACTTACTGTGTATTGCCTGAAGTATTTTTATTATCTAGGCCTTGAAATGTACTTGTAAAGAAAAATGCCACAATTTTGATGGTAAACATGTTTCTTCTTTAATGTGTGCCTCATATTTTTATAGCTGGACTAATTTTTAGTTTTTCAGGGAAATTAAATAAGTCAATATGGAAATACTGATTGCACTTGTTTTATTTCATTTTTGGAAAGTGAATTCCAAATTGAAAGCTTTTGACTAATTGAAATACTAAGTTTCCTACCAACAATAAATCAATCTTAGCCTAGAATATGAATATGAAACTCCCACTGACACCTTTGTAAGTATATGAATGCTTATTTAGAGGAAAGTTTAAACTATTTAGATAAAAGCATATATGCATTTATTAACTTTCTTAAATACATATTTTTAAAGTTGCATTGTGCTTGATGGACTTACATGTTGGACCAAAGCTTTTCAGAAATAAACATTGTAGGTTTTATTCTCATATAAATCTTGGTAATTTATTTTTCCTTGAGCTTTTCACCCCTAATCTATCTAGAACATCATTGAATTTTCAATTAACTTTACATTTACTACTCAAAGGTCATTTCAGTGATTTATTCTTATTGAAAAGTCTTAAATAAAAACGCCTTAGGTAACTCTAAAACAAAACAGTTTCATTTCCTACTTACTTTTTCTTAATCCCTGGGAAGAATTACTTTTCTTATATGTTGTCTTGAGGATTAAGTAATTGAACCAGAAGATCTGGAAAGTATTCATTAAGTAGAAACAGGTCAGTGGCACTCAGTGGGGGTGATGTACTGCTCAGTGGAGTACCCCCTTTGTCTACAGCTATAATCAAAAAGCAGGAAGTAACCACCTCGTCATGAAACAATTTGAATTACAAGGGATCTTAAAACATACCTAATGTAACTACCATATCTGAAACTTGAACATGATAAAGAACATTTTTTATAAACTAATAGCAACATCATATTGGGAAATGAAAAAATAGAGCCTTCCCATCAGCAAAACAGTAACTCCTGTTAGCACCACAGCATTGCTCTGGAGTTACCTCGTCAATGCAGGAAGACTACAAAAGGGAATAACTGGTATAAATATATTGGAAAGTAAGAACAAAACGATCTTTTGTTTGTATGTTTGCCCACATAGAAATCATAGACGCAACTAAAATATAGTATTAGAAAAACCATCATGAAGTCTGGAGACAAGATAACTGTAAAAATTAATTTTTTTCTATATCAGGGGTCATCAGATTATGGCTCACAGGCCAAATCTGATGTGTTGCCTGCTTCTGTAAATAAAGTTTTATGCCCATTTGTTTATGTATTGCCTATGGCAGCTTTTGTGCTATAGTGACAATAGCCAGGTTAGCAGGGGCAGAGATCATAGGGCCCATAGAGCCTAAAAATATTTACCATCTGGCCCTTTAAAGGAAAAGTCTACCACCCTCTGTTCTATATCTTCAATAGGAAAAATGCCTCTGAGCAACAGGGAGATATGAAATGTATAAAATACTTAAGATTCAACTTACCAAGAACTTGACCCATTGATGCTCGCATTCTAAATGAACAATAAATACATGAAAAGAACCAAGATATTTTTGAAAAAGAAGAGGTTAACTAAATTGAATTTAAATAAAAAATTTTTTAAAAAGTAAAGGTAATTGTGGGGAAGAGAGACTGTTTGCCTTAGCAATAATCAAAGTATTACCTAAAGTCACAGTTAATTCAAACAACGTGATTCTGGCTCAGGGATATACAAATGGATCAATGGAATGAAATAGTCAAGAAGGAGACTCAACAGACTCATATATATTTATGAATTTATTGTATGCTAAATGTAGCATTTCAAATCCAGAGCTTCAAAATTTATGACGCAAAAACTGACAGAACTGATAAAACTAGAAAGGTAGACAAGTCCACAATTGTCTTTGGAGATTTCACCATTCCTGTCTTAGTAATTGATAGAATAAGTAGACAGACAAATCAGTAAGAATATAAAAGATTTGAATAACACTACAAACCATTTTGACCTAATTGACATTTCTAGAGCACTGCACCAAAGTACAGCAGGATACACATTTTTTCAAGTGCATGTGGGACATTCACCAAGAGTGATCATATTTTGGTGATCATAAGCCTTAATATAATTCATAGGAAAGGAACTATACAAGTATGTTTATGGAATTAACTAGAAATCAATAACATAAAGATATTTCAAAAATCCCAAAATATTTGGGAATAAAACAGTATACTTCTAAATAACTTACGGTCAAAGGAAAAAAATCACAAGAGAAATTAGAAAATATTTTGAAATAAAATAAAAACATAACATGTGGGATGCAGTGACAAAGTTTTTGGAGAGAGTCATGTGCTTAGTTTGTACCGTGCTGAATTTGTTATGCTTATGGGACCTCCAAGTGGCTCTACAAGCCTGGGCTGAAGACCTAGATCTGGAGGAATGTTTTCCTTGAAGTCAGTGCTTGAAAGTATGGGAGTGGATGAGCTCCCCCAAAGAAAGTGAGATGGAGGCCAATGGCAGGGTCCTGGAGAATGTCAACATTCATTCCTACCTTGACTGCCCTTCATGGCCCAGCCTAAAATCCACCTCTTTCACGAAGCCCATGAAGCCTCCTAATACTCATCTGTCCCTCCTCTGATTCTTTCATCAGCACTTCTCAAACTCTCTGGTGAAGGACCCATTTTATTTACAAACAGATGGATCCCAAAACAGCCAAAATACCCATCACATATTTACTGGAAAATGTGGTGGGCTAACTTGAGGACAACAGCTAAAGCTAGAAGATTGTCCCACTTAAAAAGTGAGTAAGTGCAAGGAGCACTTGGTAAAGCCTAGAGGGGTTAGAACAATCTAGCTTTTATCCACTCTAAAAGCTGATGAGCTGAGATTCCTTTCTGGAACCAAGTCCCACACTGAGGAGAAACTGTAGAATCAAAATTGAGCAAAACAGGGATAATAGCGGTGAAGAAAAGAGAAGGCCCATATAAAAGTGAACAAGGGGAGCAGAAGCAAAACTTCAGACGGTGAGCTCAGTCAAGTTACCGGAGCTATCTGAGCAAACCCCTTAAAAGTTCAGGAAAATTAAATTCACCTAAAAATGAGTAACCGAAAAGTATCATGATTAAATCACATACAAGTTACTACAAGGGGAAAAAATGCTGGGAAACTCAATAGCATCCCTACGGACAATGAAGGTACACCAGAAGGACGTGATCAAAAAACAGATCAAAACTATAACCTAGTATTTCAAAATTAGCTTAAAGACATTAGGAAAATCACATAAGATACACAAACTACAAAAATCAGTATGAGAAGAATTCAAAGTTGTTTGACAAATTGAGGATTAGAGACAAAAGTTTTAAAAATGAAGACTAAATTAGAAAGAACACAAGTAAATAAATATAATAACTGATGCCTTGATAAGAAATAGGTTTCAGAGGAGAAACATTTTCAAAATAAAATGAAGGAAACAGCTTGAGAGCATGACAAATATCAATGATAGGCAAAGAAAACTACCATGCAGATAATATGACTTTTATTGTTTTAAAATATTTTATTTATTTATTTGACAGAGAGAGAGACAGCGAGAGAGGGAACACAAGCAGGGGGAGCGGGAGAGGGAGAAGCAGGCTTCCCGCAGAGCAGGGAGCCCGATATGAGGCTTGATCCCAGGACCCTGGGATCATGACCTCAGCCGAAGGCAGATGCTTAACGACTGAGCCACCCAGGCACCCCAATAATAGAAGTTTAAAGAAGAAAACCAAAGAAAGGGTACAGAGGAAACACAATATAATTTAAGAAAACATTCCTGAAATAAAAAAAATATTTAAAATTACATATTGGAATACTACAGTACATACCTGAGACTATCAAATGAGCTTGACCAATGCCAAGGAATGTTTTAGTAAAATTAGTGAAATTTGAAGAAAAAGAAAAAAATCCTTTGGGCATCTATGCAAAAAGAATATGAGGAAAATGAAATTAGGTTACTATCGGTCTTTTTGATGGTAACATTTTATGACAGGAAAAATAGAGTAATATATTTAAGATTTTCAAGGAAAAAATATGAGCCAAGGATTTTATATCTGGTAAAACCTTGATGTATAAAGGATGTAAATTAATGTCAACACGGGAGAAAAAATTGTTCCCAAGTTCCCTTTCTGGAGACCCTACTAAAAAAACACACTTTAAATAACCAAAATACTTAGAGTCATTTACATAATGACATTATATATATATATATTCTAATTATATATATAATATGAATTATATATGTTTAATGCTAATAAATGTATGGATATATGTGTTTTAAAATAAAAGGGAGAAATTATAGTATACAAATATCTATATTACCTAACAAAGTAGATATAGTCTTTTAAAAATGGGAGAGAATATGGGGCGCCTGGGTGGCTCAGTTGGTTAAGCGACTGCCTTCGGCTCAGGTCATGATCCTGGAGTCCCGGGATCGAGTCCCGCATCGGGCTCCCT